GCCACGTCCCGAGGCTCCGGACCGCCGCCGCCGCTCACCACGGCGCGGAAAGAGACTTGGGAGACGAGAGACTGGGCAGCAAACACCCGGCCCCCGACGACTAGCGCGCGAGCTCGCACTGTCCGGGGCCGCGGGGCCGTGACACCGCTCGGCGCCGGCCCGCGAGCCCGCAGGTGCCGCCCAGCGGCGGACTCACCTGGGCAGAGGGTTCCTCGGCCTCCGCCTGCGGCAGCAGGCTGAGTCCTCCTCGAGCGGCGGCCGCGGCCGGCGGGCCCTCGGCCCCAGGGTCCTTGACGTCCCCCATCGCCCGGGTCCAGGGAAGGCGAAGCGACGCGGAATCGGCGAGCCGCGAAGCGAGGCAGCCCCAGCGGCGCGGAGCCTCCCTCAGCCGAGCAGGCGCCAGAGACGCCCCTCACGCTGCACTTCCGGCCCCTGACAGGAAGGAGGGGAGGGGACGCGCGCAAATCTCGCGAGTGAGAGCCCGCCTTCCCCGGTGGGGGCCTCCTCCGACTCGGGCGGGGGGCGGGGCCTGATGTGCGCCTGCGCCTGCGCCTGCCTGCGGCGCTCCCGGAAACCACCTCTCGCGGGATCTGACGCGCCGGCTCCGCCCCCCGCGCGGCGCGTGCCTTTGTTGGTCAACAGGTCGGGTCCCGGGCTCTGGGCGCGGTGCGTCCCGCGGCCGTCCGGCACCGAGCCGAGGCCCGGCGCGCCCGTCACAAAGCCCGCAGCCCCGAGCGGCTCCGCCCGGTGCCTGTGCTGCTCGGTGCCCGCGGAGGACCGGCCTGCGCCCGGGGCCGGCCCACCTGCGCCCCGGCGGGCGCGGGCCTGGGACCCCGCGGGGCGGCTGACGCCCGAGAAGTTTCAGAGCTCCGAGCCGCAGACGCTGTGCCCTCGCCCGCCCCGGGAGCCCGGAGCCCGGGAGCCCGGAGCCCAGCTGGCAAGGCTGAAGGCACCCGCCTGGGTCGGGATGTGTTTGGTTTTGCAGTAAACGCCTGGAAGTGCTTTTTCAAGTTCTGCTTTGTGAAAAGTTTGATTCCATCCGACTGATAACCGATTCGTTCGGTGCATATGCAGAAATCCTGCAACTGAGCAGCTCCGGCTGGAGCTCTCTCCAGATGTAACCACGCACTTTGGTGAATTACATTACATGAGTTTGATAGAACGGCACATTTTGTAGCCATTCCTTGATTATGTATTGATTTTAGAATTTATTTGGTTTTCCAACCAGTCTTTTTTTTTTTTTTACAGGTAATTGAGTTATGGCAAAAACTAACATGAGGATGGTAAAATCTGGTTTTTGCGCATGATACCTTTATTGTGTTACAACTGTACAGCTTCAAGAAAATGCAAGAACCTTTAAATTGTAGGTGACAGTTTATTAAATGATAAAATGTTATAAACTAATTTGCTCTGTGGTCCTAATTTAAAAAAGTGTCTCTGTGTTCCTAAGATCAAGCAGTAAGGCGGAGTGATTTGGACTTTGCTCTTTCAGGTTTTTTCCTGTTTATGCATTATTTCATAGTAAAATGTTATTTTAGTAAGCTTTTATGCACCTATATGTAACATCCAACAATCTTTAAATTCTGTTGTGTTGTGTAATTCACTTTATAAGATGGGACTTCCTGTGGTAGCAGAGTTCTTTCCAGGATTCATGTCTATTGTAGGCCTGGAGAGGTGTATTTGTTTGAACCGTTGTTGATGTTTAATGAGAAATTGTGCTGGACGTGCACGGATGAACCTCCAACTGGATGAGACACCTGGAGATTAGTTCTTCCAGGTCATAGAAGGGGGAGCAGTGGTCATTTCCCAGGTAGGAAAAGGGGAGAAGGTTAGGAGGTTAGGGAGTGGTGATTGCTTGCTTCCATCAGGGTGAAGGATTCAGGCAGGCTCCTCCCCCTGCAGGGACACCCCCCCCCCAACACACCCCCCCTCTCAGAATGTTCTGTCTTCTGCGAGTAAGAGCTAGACCTCCGGGCCTCATTACCCTGTAGGTCCTGTACCAAAGGAATAGGAGGCCTGCTCAGGACACACTGGAAAAGCCTTCGTGATCCTTTTGGGGAGACTGACCCCACTCCTGCCTCCCCAGTATCCCCCCCCCCCCCACACACAGGAGATGCTGAATGAACTTGCCGCTGGTTCTCTTCAAGTGGCTTGCAGCAGTGTGCTGGTGACTTTTCCTGCATAGGTCGCTTCCCTTCCCCGTCCACTTACTCCTCAGGCCTCCTCCAGAGCATCCTCCCTAATACATCTCCTTCGGGTTTCTTCGCTGTCTTCAGCAGGAGCATGCCTCACTCACATTGTCTGAAGTTAGCTGTTTGCATCTGCCTCCCTGCCCACTGTGGGTGCTTCTAGCTAGTGTCAGTCCTGCTGTACCCAGTCAGGCAGCACCCAGTCAGGCGGCAGTCTTTAGGCAGGGTGGTAAAGTCAATGGCGAGGGCCTACAGGCTTTTCAGTGATCAGAATCTTCAGGGCCAACAAAAATGTTGGCTCCAAACTCATTTTTTAATCTGCAAAATCAAAATTAAAAACACTAAACCAGATGGAAAAATGCACAAAATATGTAACAATAAGCTATTACAAAATTAAAAAAAAAAAAAAACACTAAACCAAACGTCCCCGAAGTAATTGCAGTGTCTGTGCTGTTCATTATTAGTATCCACAGTTTATTCCACTATAAAACAGTGTGTAGATCATACTCTGCTTACGAACACCTCCCAGCCTGCATGACACTATCAAAGAATTCCCTGTCAGTCTCAGATTCGTCTGTTACTTGCGATGCACAGCGTTTCAAAGCCAAATGAGACTTTCGGGACCGTTGACGGGTCTCTCAGGCAGATGAGACTCGGGACCTCGGAGCCCTCGACAGCGCTGGCTGCTACAAGGGGGCATTCCGCCGTCACTTAGGGTGGGGACGTGCTCTTTGGAGTGCACAAAACTCCGCCTTGACCTCACCTGCCAGCCTCATCAGCCTCACTCCTGCTGGACCTGGGAAGGAGCTGAGTTTCTGACTCTGGTCCTGGGCTCTTGAGAATACCTAAGCAGTCCCGTCCCTCTAGGTGAAACCAAGGCAGCCAGGCAAGGAGAAGAGACTTGCTGACACCCGGGGCCAGCTCCCAGGTAGCTGGGCAATTGTAGTCAGCATGCAGAACTTTCACTTGCTCCAGAAACACCTGAGAAACTTAAATGAGCAGATCTGCTGGCTACCTCCAGGGTGTCTCTGGGGCAAGATACCAAGGAATCCACGCCTCAGTGAGAGCGCTAGTGTTTGATCACTTGGCCTGAAGACCTTCACGGTGAGCTCCCAAAATACTCCCCTTGGGTGCTAGAAGAACTAATTTCTGTTTGTTTAATATGAAAAATCAGGCCAAATTAAGCCTAACAATACACAGACGGACGGCTGTGCCCCTCCACCCCTGGCGGCTGATGCAGCGAGCACGTTCGGGTACTGCTGGGTCATGCAGCGGAATCAAAGGCCCATCACCAGGGGTGGACAGTGAGATTGCCAGGTAGACACACCAGGCACCCAGTTTCTACTTGAATTTCATGTAGACAAAGTTTTTAGGAGTGAGACTTGCCCAGATACTTAGTAGAATGTTTCAGTGGCAACACTGAATCTGTCCCTTGCGTCGGGACTTCCTTCAACTGCCCACGTCCTCCTCACGCCAGGCCCCACGCAGAGGAAGAGCCGCCATCTGGAGCTCTGCCGTGGGAGTGACGGGGCCAGCAGGCGATCGATGCGCCATCAGCTAGTTCGAGAGCTTTGGTTCGAAGTGAAAAACATCAGTGCCACTCACTTCTGGGGGGCCAAGAGGAGACACAAGCCAAGCTTGGCACCAGTGTGGCAGGGAAGGCAGATCTCCGCGTGGGGCAGCCAGATGCGGGGTATGAGGTGGGGGTCATCTGGGGCCAGGGGCCCCTAGGCTGGAAGCCACCAAGCCTCCTGGCCCCCCGCGAATCTGACACACTTGATCTGGGCGACCCTGGTGTGCCCTCTGCACATTGTCCCGGGGGCCACAGGTGAGGCCACATTGGCAAGGGCGGAAGAAGCCTGGTTACGTGACTTCCCTGCGCTCCCCAGCAGGGGCTCTGGGCACCGTGGGCCTGGACAGCCAAGTGTGACACAGTTTAAGACAGCCTACCACGGACGGGGCAGGGTGCGGCCAGGGGTGAAATCTGGTGGCAAATCAAGCCTTTCAGGATGTTCTCAGTCTTGTAATGAAGTGAGTGGCAACCCTGGGAATTCAGGGACCACGCACATCACGCATCGTCTGCGACACAGCACCTTGAAAGAATTGTCAAGCGTCAGAAATGGGAACTCTACTTTCTTCTCCAAGAAGCTCCCACATTTCCTCACCTTTTCTGTGATAAGTAGGTTCAGAAGCTGCTTGGGAGTGAGTTTCATGAAAATAAACAGACCTAACGTGCTCCTTCAAGATAACAGGGGTGGTTTACAGTGGGGGAGAGAGTCGCTGGTTTTCCAAAGAATCCTCCCATGGAGAGAGCATTTTTGGAAGGAGACGTCTGGAGATCTTTCCAATGTTGTGTGATTCTGTTGCTAAAAATGCCATAGATTGCTTATTTAAAAAACTTATTTCTACACACTTAGCTTAGAAACAGAAATTTCAACCCCCTTGAAAATCTCCCAAGTGGAGAAGTTTTGTTTTGAGTATACTGAGGAATTGAGGGGGGCGCAGAGATGGCCCACCTGTGGGTACGCAGGAGGCATCTGCTCCTCGGCTCTGTCAGGGCTTGAAAAATCCATTCATGCCATGACTGAGGTTAAATGCTTAAATTACTTCTCCACCCCCAACACACACACACACACACACACACACACACACACACACACACACTCAACGGTTCCTGAGATTTGCTTTCAGGGTACTCAGGGCCTGGAAGTTTACTGACTATCCTTGAGCTAAGGCCCAGGCTGGCTGGAGCCTCGAGACAAATGCAGTGGGGGCACTTGGGGATCACAACAGAAACCCCAAGCCCCAGTCATCTGGGGGGAAGGCCTCTTCACCCCATGTCTGAATGCCCTGTAACTAGCCAGGGAGCTTCTTTGCCCTTCACCTATTCCCGAGCCATGAAACTCTAACGCCTTTCTTCTCAACCTGGTTCCTTTCTAAATCGAAATAACCTCATTTCCTCTCTCCTTTGGAGAAGGAGATGTGCGTTATCTCCTGTCTCCTTGCCAACCAATTTGCAAGCAGTTCCTTTCCTTGGACTGGGTGTCATGGTAAGTAGGTTTGGGCGCACCCCAGGGAGTGAGGACACACGCTTGCTTCTTCCTGGCGTCCAGCTGGTCTCCTCAGTTTGGTTGATTTCCTCCATTTGTCAGTTGTGAGTGAATTGCTCTTGCTGTCTGCAGG